CCCTGCTGGCCCCTCCTGGATGTGTGCCAGATTAATTTTCTCGAACAGCTTGCCCAGGATCGAGGTAAGGCTGACTGGCCTGTAGTTCCCCGCGTCCTCTTTCCTCCCCTTTTTGAAGATGGGAACCACATTGGCCCTCTTCCAGTCCTCCGTCTCCATCATGCAGGGCTCACCCCATGGGTGCACAGGTCCATCTGAGTCCTAGAAGCTGTACATGAGCCGTAGGGAGCCTCGCATGATGGAGCCAGATGGCCAGCCTGGCCCTGCTCCGTCACCACACGTAGCTCCTCAAACTTGGCCACAGCAACACTGGGAGGCTCCACATGCCATGGGTGCCTGCTGCTGCTGCTGCTACTGCCAGCGGCAATGTCCCATTGGGGGGATGCATGTGGGAGGAGGGGCAGGCGTATGGAGAGAGGTGTGGGTATGAGAGGAGGCCCCACACCCCCCCCTTACAATCCCAACACGCCACCCCCATACTGCCCCTTACAAACCCAGCGTGCACCCAACACACGCCCCTTACAAGCCCAACATGCACTCCCTTATAAACCCAACACTCACCCCCTCACAGACCCAACGTGTACCCCCCTTACAAACCCAACTCACACTTCCCCAAACCCAACATGCCCCCACACGCCTCCCACAAACCCAGCACCGCCCCCCCACTAAAACAACACATTTTATTGATTTGTATGCCAATTACAGATGGCACAAGGAAGTATAGATGCTGTGACAGACTGGATTTTACTGTAATATTACTAATTTCAATGAGTTTATATTATAATAATCTTGCATGCCTGTTTCCCTGACTAGTTTGTATATATAGCAAGCAGCGTTAATAGACTCCTTGTTAGCAGTCACAGCTGCTTAAGTGGGGGACAAGACAAGATGTACCTTCAGCAACAACAGAACTGAACAGCCACACTGATGTGTCAGGGGGACTGGTACCCATCCCTTGGAGGAGATGCCCTGGAGGCAACAAGAGATGAAGAAGGAAATAAGTATCACAATGGATGAAGCAACTTAAAAAATAGCGTTGGCCTGGGAACTGAAGAGAATCTGAAAAGACTGAAGAGCCAAGCAACTTCAGGGCTTGGGGCTGTGCTGAATGGAGAGAGAATGGCTAAGCTAATTTAGGGGGTGCTTGGGACTGAACTGGGCAAAAGGACAGCTTAAGCCTTTGGAGGGGACAGGGTCTAGGTAGCCTCTGCCCCAATAACTGTCTTTATTGCAGAGGAACGATCTACTTTGCTACTAGGAATCTGGGGTGTACTCTGTTCCCCCCTGAAGGAGAAAAGTCCCTTTTGCAAGAGCTGAACTAGAAGACAGCTCCCTGAAGTACAGCCATGAGGCTTTCACCAGCAAACATTAGGGACCAAGAGATAGGGGTCTCAGAATCAGAAGGAGCTAAGAGGGACCAGTCAAGGCCAGGAGACCCAATCAAGCTCTACCATACAGGCATCTGTGGCAAATGCCTATGGTCAAAGCTGCCTAACATGTACCACTGTAAACCACTACAACACTGCCAAACTTTACACTGGTGATTCCACAAGAGTGTGCCATGAGGGTTGCAAAGGTGTGCTGTGAAAAACAACACTCTTCTTTCTTCTCTTTTGTATGTTAAACTGGGGGGGCACAGGGTGAGTACAGAACAGGGTGCACAGTAGGGCATACCACAGCCGTGTTCTCAGGGTGCGGGCAGTGGCATTGTGACAGCAGTTTGCAGATGTCTGGTACCAACACAGCTAGAATCTGCATATGCACTGCAGGCAGGGAGCACGGGGACTGGGAGAAGCAGCAGCATCACCAGGATCAGATGTCTGCAAACTGCTGCTGCTGCTGTATCCTGCCAAACCCTGGGAACGTGGCTGCACAATGCATCTGGAAGCTTGGTGATGTGCTCTAGTGCCCACTGGGCAGGTAGATGCGGGGCTCCCCTTCTCTTCCCTCCCTACCCAGACCCAGTCGATCACAGGCAACCAGAAGCCCCCATCCCCACCCTGATAAGCTCTGGGGAGCCCTTGCCAACACATCCCTACAGCCCCTTTCCCAGCCCTGCCATGCTTGCACCCCAGAGCTTCCCAGGGCAGTATGGAGTTTGTTTACAACCCCTTCTGCACCAGTTCCCAGGGATGCAGAGCAGAGCAACTGTGCGCGCCATTGGAGAGGCTCCTGCCCCTGTTTATCCTGACAGTCTCCCCCAAGAAAAGCTTTCCCCACACCCATGCCACTGTTTCTTTGCCGCTGGGGAGCTGAGCCAGGACCAGACTTCTGCAAACTATGTTTGCACTGCCACCACTGTTTTTTTCCACTCCCCTTTTCAGGTGTAAGAGTGAAATGTTCTGCCAACTCTAATCTAAAAATCTCAGTTAACACACGTTCTATAAAGGTGGAGCACCTAAAGTCAGAGCACTAAAGTCTCAGATATTTCTGTCTGCACTCCGCATGCTCTTCCCAATTTCTAGAGAAGATGTGTCAACTACCAAGGGAAGTGAATTCAACTAGCCCTTCTGCCTGTGTTCTTGATGATCCTTTTGCTCAAACAGAATAGAGGAGGAAACAACCTGACAGATGCAGAAGCATAGAGGGGTATAGGATGTTGCCATCTTGATCCAAGGACATAGGCAGACAAGGTTCTTTGGGTAAATCTGATATCTTTTATTACACCAACTCAAATAGTTGGAAGCTTAGAAAAAAGGCAGACAGAAGAAGAAATAAAGCAAAA